ATTCCTTTGAATGACTGTCATGCACTTAAGTTTGTACCTCCCTCTCCAACACTGAAAGTTAATAACTAATCTCCTACAATAACTCAGGTAAACTTCCAGTGCTGTCATCCCTAAGACAAGCAAACATCCTCTCCATATACAGGATTATATTACTAAAAAGTGGTATACCAAGACAAGACTGGAGGGTAAGAAGGGCAAATAAGAAAGGCTAGAAATTCCTAGTTGTATTTTCCATTCTCCAACCTTTGATATCTTAGTTGCTAGCACTGCTTAACCAGTTCTGTGAAGAACACCTTTTGCTTTAATATAGAGCCTCAAAAATAAACTCAGTAGAAATATACTTGCAGAAAGTGGGGAAACACTTGTGTGTATGGACAAAGATAAAATCTTACACTGAACTCTACCCACCTTCTTCAGTGACAGTATTCAAACAACTAGGCCTAACAAATAGGAAGAATAAGGGGGAAAAAATGCTTAATCAGTATTGGTATTTGAGGTTTAACATGTAAAAAGAAACAGCATGCAAAATTCAGTCACACAATTTTTCATTCTCACTTGATCAATCAAACTGCAAAATGTGATGCTCATGTTAAGTAAATACTACAGATCATGTAAAATAATTGACTCCAGCCTGCAAAGAACTGTATAGAACTTTTCCAAAGCAACTAGATAAAAACAAAGCACTGAATCCTGTTGCTTCATCCAAACATTATAGCAAGTAAATCACATTGCAGAAGCAATAAATTTTTCTCATTTTCAAGACTGCACTTTAATGACAAACAGTTAAAGCACAACACTTTCATTTACTCTTTTTCCTCAAAGTTCTCCAAGTGCCCAGTTTTGCTTGCTCCAGCCCTACCTTCCTCCACTTCAACTATGGGGAAATTTAATAAGAGATTCTCAGATTGTTTAAATATTTTCTACTAAAAAGCATATTTTACTCATAAGCTATAGCCAAATAAGATAACCTGAAGAGCACGTAAGTCCCCAGACATAGTTTTAGTATTTCTTTCATCCTTACCTTCTCAAGGCAATGTTTCTAGACCTTCCATACAAATGGTGATGATCTAAATTATTTCATCACACCATTCACTGTGATCTTTTAGATCCAGTAATTGCTCAATTCCATACTCCCTGCAGAGCCAAAGTGACGTGGCTCCTTCAGAGGCCCACTTACAAAGTCAGAAAGTTTGATCTAATACTAGTGTCATTTCTTACTATAGAATCAATTTACCACAGCATAAACAAAAAAAAAAGAAAAAAAAACACAACTATATATTACAAAAGAAGATTACAGTGTTATTAAACAGGAAAGTTTAAGCCTGCTATTGAGCCAGCATTTAATACCTAGGAAATTTCAAAATTAAATGAAAAATAGTAACTCTTCCCATTCACTTCTCAACCAAAAGTAAGTTTGTTTCCAATTTGAAAGAAAATCTTGGAATTTCAATTTTAAAGTATTTTGGTATGCTTTGGTTTTTAACTAATCAAGACATATGTATTTCCCACAACACATATTCTTCAATACACAGATGGAAGGAGAGTAAGAAATTACGAGACATAACATTGTTATACAATGTACTATACAAAAACCTGTCATTTAAGTTGCAAGAAACCTAGTCATCAATAAGTGAAAAAATACCTCGCTCAAAAATCAATTATGTTGAGTCTTTTGTATAGAGAAGTAGTACACCTTTCAGGCAACTGGTATTAATGAGCAGACATGGCTATAGAATCTCCATCTGTTTTTCTGACAAAGCTGTGACTACTCCAGTCTCTCATTGAAATTCCATTAATCTGGTGCACCAAGGACCAATGCGAAAATCAAAACTCCATCTAACCCTTTATCAGCTCACAATAACCTACAAGTGAACTCTGCCTGTTAGCATACAGCAAGTTATGATTTTGCTATCAATCAGGCTGTTAGCCAATAAAAAAAAAAAAAAAAAAAAATCAAGTTAAGACCAGAGTGCCTGGCTGTGCTGTTTTGTTTGGTCTGTCTTGTTTTTCAGTTTTTTATTTTATTTGGGGGTTTTGTTGTGTTTTATCCCTCTTCCAATTTCTGTAGGGTGTCTGGACATTTAAGCCCATGCATCATTCTCTTTCATTGTGATTTAATTGCTGCCAGCAATCGAGTCAAAGCATCACTGAAGTGTGCTTGAATTTCATTAGATGATATAACTTATGCTACTTTCCTACAGTACCTAATAAACCATAAAGAAACCAAAACACATATGGCTTGAGGGAATAACTGGAAAATTAGGTGGCCATTTGGGAACTGAGTGAACTTTTGAACCAGAGGAACAGAGAAAAAGAAATATTAAAAGGAAAGACAGACTTAGAATGCACACAGAGACGTGGGGGTTTGACCTTTTCAGTACCTAGAAAATTACATTAGCATTATGAAAAATACATATCATGTTTAGAGTTTATAATCCATCAAAGTTTAGATACTTTGTTAGTGCCTACCATAAGGTAAAAGTCAAAAGGACAACATAACAATCAGATTTGACAAAAGGCCTTTAGGTGACCTGTGCTAATTTAGTTATCCCATACTTATTGTTAAATGGATTATCTCTCTTGTAATTAATACACCATTAGACAAAGGTCACACAAAAACTCCAGGATTTTACAATGACTGTAACGTACACATAATATACTAATTCTTTATCTGTTACCAAGCGTGTGCCTTCACAAATTATGTTTTGACAGTAATGCCGCAAAGTCAAATTGCAACACTTTCGCAAGTCATACAAACCTTGCAGCCTAAGTCAAGTATATAAAGAGAAATGCCTTGGGGCTTTTTAGCAGAAAATATATGTGGAAGGTTTTACATAAAAATAGAAATGGACTCAAACATAAATAAACCACCTCAATTTGGTTACCTACCGATAGGGCCCTCTATTAACACTGAGAGCCTTGATCCTACACAAATCAGGTTTTAGATCTGTACAGAGCCCTGCTGAACTGAACTGGTAATTATACAAGATCAAACGTCTATGTTATAGACCCAGTTTCTTGAGCAGGATTTAAATATTGAACATTAACAGACTGCTAAAAAACTGAAATACAGTATTGAGCTTCAACAAACCTATTTATGCCTATTAGAACTGAAACAAATGGCACCTTTGGGGATCAATCCACTCTTATAAGATTTTCCCAACATACATTTTCATGCACAGGCTAGGTGGCTAGACTGTAATGATGGATTATATATGTTAAAATCAAAACAGTCTTAGAATGACACATTAGACATTTGAAGAGAAAAAAAGGAACACTGTTTACTCCAATAAATTAAGTATTTACAGACCAGAATTTACCACCGTCTCTCAAATTTGCTTTGTGCTACACTCCCATTTATATTTTTATCGTAAAATATAAATTAGCCAAGTTATTGTTGAGCAGTTATTATACCTACTCTTGTAACTTCCAAAGTAGGCTAAAAATTAATCACCCATCTGTACAAACTCATACGGTATTTCACATATTCTTGCATCAGCATTCTCCAAACACTCATTATTTAGGTTATGAGCATTTTCACTTTTCTCTTGATTAACTATTTTGAAACAATTCTATAATCATATCTCCTATTAAATAGTCATATAATTTTGTCACATACCCTTTATGCAATCAGTACCATGTTATTAAGTTATAATTAGAAATAATGATAAGATTATGTTTGTAAGCAAAAATAAATACACAGAAAGTTGCATTCATCTGTAGTTTTGAAAATTAGCTTGGGTTTTCTAAAAGCCATACTCAATTTGACTGATAATTACATTTCAACCAGAGAGCAAAAAGGCCTGGTTTTACTTTTTTTAGTAAAAGGTCATACTGCCAACATGCAATCAGCTCAGTATTAAAAAAAAAAAATGTGTGATTATTATTGTTCTACATTTTACAGAGTTCTGGACATAAAAAAAATGCATTATTCTGAATCAGTGGTTAGAAGGTTTATCACTTATGCATGTACTTGACTTATCCCTGTTCTGCAATAGACATAATTTTATACCTCATAAAAGCAATTTATGTTTCCAAAGGGAATAATCTGGATAGTATAAAATGTGGAGTGCTACATTGCAGGAAGCATATTTTCATTCAGCAATTGTATTTCGAGATGGAGCTGCACAGTTTGATCATCATATCATGTCAGAAAACATCATTCACTAGTAAGTCTATCTAACTTACAGTGCCACAAATTAATATACATTGTTAATTTATTTGTACAATTTACTACCATATATTATCTATAGAAGGTGTTTATATTATGTATACAGTAAGCTAATCTCAAAAATATGGACACTATGCTAAAGCAAGCTTGTTAACTGTTGAAATATTCAATTGTTCATGTCTTCAGAACAGTCGCATTTAGCATTAAACTTAATGAATACATAATAAAACAACATGGAAAACAGCTATGAGGCTTAGACTTTTTTAAAATGCAAATACAAACTTAAAATTTATATAAAAAAAAATTGTACAAAAGACTCTTAATGGAAGGAAACACTGTAAGAATAATTAATTTAATATTTTATGAACCTATTCTGCATGGAGTTTGCAGAAAAGTATCAATCACATAAACTGTTTCATTATTTATTAGATAAATAATACAGTAAGCCATTAAGTAGCACAATAAAATTAAGCAAGAATCTGATAATGTTGAATTAACAAACAATTTGTTACTACAAATATTCACACTGGTTTAGCCACTGATCTATCTTTAAAAACATAAGTATCTACAGAAGATGCTTCGTTATCAAAAAACGTGAGTTGAGAAACACCGTGTAAATTTGAGACAGCTTCACTATGCTCTAGGACCACTAGAGAGAGCTCTTCAGTTCCTTTAAAGGTTCTTGTAAAGGTAAGGAAAGTGTCTAGCTGAGCTGCTTATCTGTTTGTCTGTTTTCCAACACTAACATTCACATCACAAGGATCCGATTACATCAGTTCATAGCAAACTGGCAAATCTAATACTTTCTGAGGTAAACAGTCTCACATACCATCAGAAGGTGCTTCATCCTCTTTATCATATCGGTCAGATGCTATTGAGACGCTATCAGGAGGCGAAGAAAGAGAGTTCTCAGACTCTTCTTCATCTTCCAGCTCTGTAAAAGTCAATACACATTGCTAGTTAAATAGTCTATCGCACAAATACACAGAATAAAAGTATTTTCGATAGCAAGGAGGATATTAATTAGTATCTGGAACAGAAAAAATCCTAATTTTCGCGGACACTGGCAGGCTCCAGCGCAGCTGCGAGCGATGCCGTTCTAGGGCTACCTTCTGACCCGATGCGTAAATGCTGCTGGAGCAGTTTCCCTAAACGCTGACATATAATGAACCTGCTCCCAGCACTGCACAGCTGGCAGCTTCTCCTGAGGGGGGAAAGGAACACCAAGCAAAGAGAGGGAAAGAGAAAACACTGGCAGAAGGGAAAAAGGAGAGTGCTAGGCTCCAAAGTTCTGCCTGTCCTAGTGCAGGATGGAGCTGCAGCAACTTCCCTCCCAGGAAATGCCAAACTACCGTTGGTAGCAATGACCTCTGCTCACTTTTACTTTTCCTCACTCTAATTAGGCACGGCCTTGCAAAACTGTGTGTATATTCCTCCCATGAAACTAGAAGTGGAATTGCTGTCTGGCAGCACCTGGTATGAACCTGTGGCTTGATGCAGCATTCTGTTAATAAATTTCTTGCCCAACTGAGAGCTCTTCTACAATAGATACAAAATCTACATTATCAGTTAATCCGATGCACTCTGGTCACTGTCATGCATAAGCGCAAAGGTCTGGGAAAGCCACAGTGAAATCGATATTAGTTGAGGCTTTCACCTAACTAGACAAAATTTAACTTCTTCCTGAAACTCACTATATTTTCTCAGATATGTTCAACACATCTAGGCAAAGAAGAGGGGGAAAAGTAACAAACTACATTGCTCCAAAATAAACCCAAATAAAATCTTGGTGAAGGAGAAAAAACTAAATATGACAAAAATCATCAGACCAGAATCATAAAGTTGATGCTTCAATAGATTAAATGGCCCTCAAAATTCTTGAAAATCATGTAACAATTGTTCAAGCATTGCCTTTTGGTATATACAAACACAAAAAGTTTTCCAGAGCTATCCAAATACCCTTTTCTATTTATGTGTTCCCTTTTGTATCAGAAAACTAATTTCTAAGAATCCAAAATAAACCCATGTATAGTTAAAATACTCTTCTTTACAGACACAGACATTGCATTCATCAGTAGAACTGCCTAACCACAGCTGAGTTTCACTTCCTCTCATTTAATAATGGAAATACACAAAAAATTTAGAGACTATGTCCAGAAAGCACCATGGCTGTTTGTAAAGAACAGAAAGTTTTCCATATAATTGAAACAACAAAGCCTGATATTTGCTTTGCTGGAGTTCTTATACATTCAAAAGTTGTCAAACACTAGATAGGCTTTCCCTTCATAAATTTAGTATGCTTTTTTTGGGAAAGCTTCCTCCCAAGCTCCCAGCCATTTAACAACTGCTCTGAATCTGAACCTGACTCCAACCTATTTTTGACACAATCCTCTCTTAGTAGCACGCCAGTCATCGTGTTAATCTGATCAAAATATTTGCACTTCATCACACCTGTCAAACCAATCAAAAGTAAATTATTTCTCTCTAGAATTCACCTCTCCCTCCAAACAGAAAAATACAGAGTAGATAGCACATGAACAGAAAATACTATGCCCTATTTATAACCAGTATGATCATCTTTCACACTTTGATTCCAGAGACCAGTTGCCTGTCTCTCTTTGCCTATATGTATCTTTATCAGGTGATACACTCCATAAAAAAGACCAAACATGATATTCACAACCAATGGCAAAACTGTTCCACTGTTTCCCTGTCCTAAACTTTTACTAGTACTCGAATACATAGAATATATGTGTATATGTAAGCCCTAGTTGTCAATCAAAAATGCCCACTTATCAGCTATGCATAAGCATATTATCATTTAACCTTCATGAAAGTGTAAATTTAAAATATTAGGCTGCATTTCTAGAAGCAAATTCCACAAACACCACACTCCAGCACATGTAATTCATGGGCTGAATGGCAAACCTTAGTATATTTGAATGAATAAGACTTGTGGATGACAAGTATGTGAGTATACATGTAGAAAGAACAACTCCAGAGGATTTTGTCCCACTCAGCAACACATAATCTCTTATGTAAGTTTGCATAGCTGTACAGTTACCTCGCTCTTCCATGAAGTCACCATACTACCATTTTCCAATTACACTTAGGGTTTCAAATCCAGTAAACATTTGTACTTTACTTTCATATAAAAGCCAGATGACCTAGGAACATACATTTAGGGAATACCATATACCAGATTGTGCTGGCTTGGCTTGGGATAGAGTTAATTTTTTTTACAGTAGCTAGTATCAGACTATGTTTCGGATTTGTGCTAAAAACAGTGCTGATAAAACAGGCATGTTTTAGTTACTGCTGAAAAGTGCTTACAGAGTGAAAACCTTTTCTTCTTCTCATACCACTGCACCAGTGAGTGGGCTGGGGTGCACAAGAAGTTGTGAGGAGACACAGCCAGGACAGCTGACCCCAACTGACCAAGAGGATACTCCACACTATATGATGCCACACTCAGCATATAAAGCTGGGGGAAAAAGAAGAACTAGGAGATGTTTAAAGTGATGATATTTGTCTTTCTAAGTCACTGTTACTTGCGATGAAATCCTGCTTTCCTGGAAATGGCTGAACACCTGCCTACCCAAGTGATGAATTAATTCCTTGTTATGTCTTTCTTCCGTGTGCAGCCTTTGCTTTACCTATTATACCAACTTCATCTCAACACATGAGTTTTCTCACTATTATACTGATTCTCTCCTCTATCCCAGTGAGGGCAAATGAGTAAAGGACTATATGGGCTTTAGCTGCCATCTGGCATGAAAATAATGACATGGTTATACACTGTATTTGAAACAGCAAAAACCATAGCAACACTGAACGTAGATTCATAATAAAACAAGTTTCTGTTTCATGTCTAGAATATTTAAATTCAGAATGCTCTTAAAAAAAATATATAAAACTGTTTAGAGTATTATGAAGAAACAAATTACACACTCAGTGTTTTACATTTGTCAAAGCATTCTCTAGATGTTAAATCCTAAAGAAGGCTTGAAGAGTTCCATGATAAAAAGTCCTCACTGAGAAAGACACTCAGAACCAATATATAAATCCTATGTCATACAATACTACATTTAGGTACCCATACTTTACAGGAAAAATGTAAATGGAGAATAAGCGGCAGACTCTGGAGAGAATGCAACCTGCACTCATGCAGGACTAGATTAAACAAAAAAATCCTCAATTTTTCATTTTAGAGTACAGAAAAATAGTAGCAAGTAAATAATAGTTTTCATCAACTTATGTTATATACTGAAAAATGTAATTCTTAAATAATTTAATTTGTACAGAAGAACTGCAGGCATTTCAATAGGAAAGCTGACCCATTGTGCTCTGGAGTTTTAACAGGCAATGTTTCATACCATGTTTATGTACTGGCATAAAAGACGGACTACTTTATGATATCAACCTTGGGGTTTTTGCCTCCTAGTTGTCAGGGTTAAAAAATATCTTAGGACTGTATGCTGTTAATATATAAAGATATTGCTCCTGAGAGCTCACAAAGAGGCTTCCTGTTGATCCTAAGCCATCTCTTACATTCCCACTCAGAGTAATCATTGCCCTTTCTTCACTTTACATGCTCCTCCATCAATGTCCTGCACTGAAGTTTATACTCCACCTGTGGAGTAAGAGCAGTCAGAATTGCGTTTGAAGCTCCTTGTGTTACTCCTTGAACAGTCAGAGGAGTCAGTGTTGAGCAGCACAAACCACTATCCTCTTCAGGTGCCAAGTATCTAAAAATACACTCAAAAAGCATCAATAAATTAAAGCAAAGCATTCAACTTGCACTTATGCAATAGAAAACCGAACTACAAAGCAACAATGGACATCAGGTAAATGTATTCAATACAATTTGCAGGCATAATTGAAAGCATTGCTGCCTAATCAAACATCTAAAAGCAAAGCATGCTCAAACAAAATGTCTATAGACTCATTAGTTGGCAGTCATTCCATTACAATCACACATAATGTCAGTGGTGCCTTGAACCCATGCCAATGACAACAGCATAAATTTTGCATCTCATTTCTATGGTCATAAAATTAATGACCAGTTTAAAAATACTTCTTTGCAAAAGTTATTGCCTAAAGAAATGACATGAATGTGTCCCTGTTATGCAGCCACAAGTATAATTATGGAGTTGATGCTCATTAATATAGTTTCTTGCTTCCCCAGAATAACATGATTTATCTGGAAGTTGGGGAAAAATATATTAATTAAAGGTAGATATTTAATAGTCACAATAACAAAAATATGTACATGAACTGACCCTGTTCCCCAGTTTCTACAACTTAAACTAATCTCCTACAGGTTTGATAGCAGAATCAATATTTTATATTGTCTGTAAAAAAAAAAATAAAATAAACATACAATGTCATTCCTTATTAAATGCTACCTTTTCCATTACAGCTTATTTATTGATTCAGGAAATAATGCATACCAAAGGGTAAGTTTACCACATTAAGAATGGAGCATAAAACAAATTCTCTTCATTCTAACAAAGGCTGTACTTCAGTTCTTATCCCTTGTTCTGAAGGCTTCCAACAAATTTAGTTGGTACAAGCTCAATATAATGAATAGAAGCATATCACATTGTAAGAATCCAGCTTTTAAAAAATCCAGAATTTTTCTCTCCCAAGAATTCATTTTCTTCCGCAGCATTGAGATTATAATAATGAATTCCTAAGCTTTAAAGATACTGCTTCTACCACTTACTCTAAAAAAGAGCAAGCAAGAGGTTTCAGCCAATGTCTCTGAAAGAGACTTGCTCACATCCTCAGATAACTAAGCACTTTCAATTTATTTCTAAAAATGTCTAGACAGAATGATGCATTAAAACTGCTCAAGTATAAGATAAATAAAACAACTCAGGAAAATAAAAAGACGTGTAGGTCAAACCACACTGCTTCTTGCTATTTCAGAAGGTCCCAAGTCACAGCAGGTTGAAATCAGTTCCTCCTGTCCAATCTCTGCTGCAGTAAGAACCCACAAAACAAAGGACTGGATGAAGCCATCAAGCAGACCAAGCAAGGTTCTCACTACACAATTTTTCATAAAAACAAGTAGACAAAGCTGCATTCAAGCAGGAAGGGGTTTACTTTAGCCCCCTGATAGGGGCATCCTGTATTTTTAAGATGCTACTGACCCAATCCACCAGTCACCCTGCAAGAATGGATTCTTCGGACAATAAAATTTCAGTGCATGCTTTGCCATGCAGTCTGCTCCAACACACTCATTCCTGAAGGGCCTTCTAGGGTCCCCTATTAACATGATGATTTTTAATGGCTTGTTTTGTAAAGGTCAAGTAGAAACTCTTTAGCAGCTACTTCTTAAAACGATAAATTTGCAACAACATTGAGTTTGCAAGCAAATATGCTTTGAGCAAGGAAAGCAACTGCAACTTTTGCTTGCTGAGTTGCCTCTCATTCTTATGATGCATATCAGAACAAAACCATTTCATGCTGCACTGGTGGATGTATCTCATGTTACTTGAAATTGCACTTGGCGTGGACACTTCACAGATGACAGCTGTGTGTAGCTGAAAGGGACAACACAATGACTTGCCTACAGTGAAACCTCCCAGACTTCTAGGATAGAGTGGTATTTGGCACACTTTTAATGCATTTGATGGTCTCTCCAGAAATACATCATGATGATCCTCAAAGAACTGGGTAACAACTAAGCCACATCTTTCCCATTTATGGTTAAATACTAACAATGTATTTATGCTCTTGACTACAAAGTTCAAGTGTGTTAAAATATAGAACTCGCATGCACATGCAGCTCTGGTGACCACAAGATACTGACCCCCTTTTTCAAGTCCAAAGAGACTTCTTTGGAAAGTACTTGCTGCCATTTCCTGAAAAAGAGTGTACAGAGGGGGGAAAAAAATAAAAAGGAAACATGACCTCTGTACAAAAACAGAAAAGAAAAAAAAAATACAAAATACAAATCCTTTGCATATAGTAAAAGCTTTAACTCTAACAGCTATACTATTTCCAGGAGGCATAGGTCTCAGGCTCCAGAAACACTCTGCTCTGCCAGAATCAGCACCAGAAGCATCTGACTCATCTAAAGGTTTCCTACAGGTGCCCCCAACAATTACATAGTGAATAACACCAATGCACTAGAGACAAAGATTTACTCTCTATTATGTTACAGTGAAATAAAAACAAAAGTGGACCATCATCAGTTTTTATCAAAGTGAAAAATACTAGTTAGAAAATGTCATGTCATATTTTTCTGCATAATTTAGTGCTACAGATTGGATACGAGGTGCAATGAGTGCTTTATGGGGAACTGGTTCTGCAAATTCCCATAGTATGACTTGATTTGGCTAGTACTCTTGGTGTCTAACTTTCAACACTGAGCCAAAATATTTTGTGAAAAGTGATTACAAATATATATTTTACTAAAATAAATGCATAGAACAGATGGCAAGTAAACCTCAAACACAAATACAGTTTCTAGAGCCTAGGGTGCTTCTGCCAACTTTAGCACTATTTTTAGCATAAACTGAAAACAAGGTTCTTTTAACTAAACATTTTGGCAGTCGCAGTATTGATTCAATTAATCTCAAAACAGAGAAATGGCCAAAAACTTTATTAAGTCAGAATTTTTGACAAAGTTCAGACTTTTATATTCTTAGTGGAATAACAGTCCTATAAAAAAAAATTAATCCAATTTGTAAGCAAATTATCTTTGTTTTCAAGTTTCTTCCCAGTTCTAAGATCTAGAACAGAATGTGACTACAGCTTTTTAGTTTTGCTTAAACTGCTTAGATAAAGTCAATTTCAAATTAAAAGGAAAAAAGATAGCAGTGTCTAAGACAAAGACATTTCTACAGAGCTCTTCAATTTAAGAATAAAATAGATACAATAAACGTTTAATAACTAAAAAAAAATTTGATGAAAGACCAGTGGATTAGACATAAATATAACTATATATTTTTTGTCATAAGAACAACATGGACTTTCTTTATCCATAAATTAACAACACACTTAACTGCAAAAGTGTTAAATCAGGTAACACATCACATACAAGAATTAAATATTTTCCAATACAATTAATTTTGTGTCTTTCACTTGCACATGTACCCACTTCTCCTGAAATGCTTCAATTTTTTTTTCAGTCTATATAGACACAAAAGATGCTTTTGTCAGCATATTTACTGATCTGACAGACAACATCAGAAGACTTCTTTCTAGGAGGATTCAAGGAAGTCCTCAAATTCATCAATCTGGTTGCAAAGAAATATGTATGCACTTTCTGAGAGAGATGGGTGATTATAGTTTAAAGGAGTCTGGTTCTACTTGCACACATGTTCTTCAATTATTTTTTCATCATTACTCTTTCAAACTTCCTTGCTTTATCCCTATGGATAGGCAGGATTCTGTATGCTATTGGCCAAAGCCCATAAAATAAGAGTTTACAAATAGCTTAGCTATTTGACCAGCTTGTCACTATGTGCAAAGCCAGTGGGATTTCAAAAATACTCAGTGATGAAAGAGAGTGGTGTGGAAAGTATGCCCACGACACATCCTTCTGGAACAACTCACAAGCTGAAGGAGCCACTGTTTAAGAGAGCGGAGTCAAGTATCACTATGTCCTACAGGAAATACGTGAATTTTGAAATTGTTAGTCCACTTCTTTCAGCCTCCAAAAATACTTCTGGATGCCTCTGAAAGGATGACAGGTCACAACTTGCTAGATTCTTGAAAACAGCTGATGTAGTATATGATGTAGTATAACTACTATATCATGATAACATACCATGACAGTATGTACCATTTTTCACCTTCCCTTTCAGCTAGAACAGAGATTATTTTATTTACATTTTAAAAATGGAGTGACTGCTACCACAAAACCAAGAATAGCAAATTTGAAGTTTAAATATACATGGTAGTTTTCATTCTTCCTAATATGTTTCAGTGTAGTTTCCACATTTCTACTCCCACCCCTACTTTTTTCCTGAACAATATTATCCTTTTTTCACCTTATATATAGAGATATTTCTTCTTTCTCTGGAGGGGGTAGTACTGACCATCACTGCCTTCTGAGTTTTCAGTACTTTCCAAATTTTCCATTTCCAAACGTCTAGGTGGGCACAGAGGTACAAAAGAGGTACAAAATTGGGCACAAAAGTTAACCTCCCTCAGCTGCTGCCACAGCTTTGTTACACCAGGAGCTGGCCAAGAATCTGACTGCTTATCTCCATGTGAGCCCTTTGTTCTACACCTACAAAAGTCACACCTAATTTGTACAGTCCTAAAGAAAAAATGACACAACCAAATGAAGTTTAGCACACACTTCTTGAACTCTGGAAATTACACCAACCGTTCACATCACTGAATCATATTCCCTAAAATAATTTGCAGGTAAGTGCAGGCTCTTATTTCCCATAATTTTCTTGCATTTCTGCATATAGAAAATGCACATTAATTTGGAGAAATGTATCCTTCCTTGCAGAAAATGGTATAACTTTCATTTTATTGAAAAATACTGAAAACTAAGGTGCCAGTGTTCACAAGCCTCAGCACTTATACATAGTTCTATGACATGAACCAGAGATATATCATGAGAATTTTTTAAAAGGCAACATATTCTTAAGGATCAAATGTACTCTAATAAAAAGAATAAGACTGAACATAATTTTCACAGAAATCACAGCAAGTTATGCAGTAACAATTACAGACTATACAAATCAAATCATCCATTTTGCTAGAGATAATGAAATCTCATTTTTGTTAATAATTTGTTGAACTGGAAAATAAATTCTGAATCAAATTACCAATGAAGAAAGTAAATAGACTAGAATTTTCTTGACCTTCAAATTACACAAAGCAGTAAATGCAAACTCTGCTTTTTGTATGCAACTCTCATGCTTATTACAGAGTCAGAGCCTCAGGAAGTTATTAAATCTTCAGAAACATGCTCTCTCAAAGTAAGATAGGTTTGCAATGAAACAACCACCCTGCCTAATTTCATGTTAGTAATTTTCTTAATAAAATAACATTTTACTCTCCCACACTCAGTTCTGTTGGACAGCGAAGAGGAAAACTACATTTTGTCTTCTGTAACAGTGCTGAGGTGCAATATAAGAAAACAGCAAATTATTGTAATACAATTTTTAAACAATCACATAGCTGGAGTTTACAGAATCTTGGCAATCTTGAATCTTTGGGAAGTTTCAAATTGCACTGTCCCTTTCAGTTGAACTGTTATGGCTGCATAACTTGATTTAGACAGGCATAAGAAATGTATCAACATGTTGTGCCTTGTTACAACATTACTTGCCGAATATGACTTACATATTTTCTCTTTCTCAGGAGGCACACTGCAGCCTACACATTTGAACCTCCTTGTCCAGAAACAGACAGTTCTTCAGCCAGTGCAAAAAGTGAAGCTTTGCATAGGCTTTTTTTGACCTCGCACTGTGACCCTCATACCAGCATCCACAGGCTATAGGTCACGACCTCAAGAATTAGCATCATGGAAATAAGAGCCTTTCCAGGTTTAGTTACAGAACAGAACACTGTAGCAACAAACCCTTCAGTCTTCTCTAAATTGAACTCTGCAGCTTTGTTTAAACTCCACTAGAAGACAATAGATAACCCACACTTCAGTTTTCATTACTCGCACACTAAATCATCTCCTCTCCAGCTAAAGGTCTGAGCTCCCGCTGCACTATGAAAACATTCATTCAGTGTGGATCGAAAGCCAATATCATATTGCCACGGGATGATCCTATTAAAAGGTTAAAGAAACATCACTATGGAATTGAAGACTTTTGCAACGTTAAGAGAAAAGGCTGAAATAAGTAATCTGTGCTAAAATTGTATCTCCTAAGCCGGCTACTTTTTCCTCCGGAAAAAATAAACCCACATCGCACGGTCTTTCGCAAGGCTGCACTCTTGCTAATAAAGCTCCATTTATACTAAATTTATAACAAATAAGCTCCATAACGAGCTCCATTATCTATTAAATCCTGAGCTCCGTTTGCAGAGCAGCGTTTCCATCAGCAGCGGCCCCGGTGGATGGGTGTGCTCGGGCAGCTCCAATTCCCCGGCAGCCGCAGCAGGGGGCGCCAGGCCCCTCGGCCTCGGCACCGGGGAAACAGCGCGGAGGGAACGGCGGGGAAAGGGGCACCAGACTCACCTTTCTCCGGGAATTCTTGAGGATAACTGCAGAAAAAGAAGAAGAAGAAACGTCATAAAGCAACTCTGCACACTTGCAAAGCCACGGCACGAGGGCACGGCGCAGAACAACAACCAGTTTTCAGTAAGTTCTGTGAGCGAAACTCAGTGCTGCAAGTTTTCCTTGAAAATTTTGAAGTTTTTGTCTTTCACCTAAAGTATTACTGAGTTTTCCTTTTGCCTTTGCAGCTCAGAGAATCTCCAGTCGTTTCAAGGAAGACTTGAACAAAACCAAATCCAGACCGAGCAGCCTTTTCTAGGAACATACTTAAGATATACCTTATATCTTAAGGTATAAAAACACACAAAAGCATCTTTAATTCTACTAAATCTTCTAAATATTAACAAATTGCAAAACGTGTGCGCAAGTAAAACCACGAAGCATATTTTGAAATAAACCAGTAGTCCAATAGGAAAAGAAAAAAAAAATTTCAAAGTGGGTATAGCTGTGGTAAATTTGCAGAACTCCAAATTAAAAACTCCAAATAAAAATGTATTAATAATTAACCAGAAAGATAAAACTTAACACATGCCTAAATAAAAATTCCTTTTCAAATAAGGACATCTCAACTTATATAATACCTAGAAAACGAAAAAAATTTATCATTCCAGAAGGGAAACATACTTTTATATAGTGTTTCTTTAGAGCTAAATCTTGGTACTTCAGAAACAAAAATAACCACAGGATGCAGTTTGATGATACAGACAAATTATCAGGACAGAGTTATGTAGAATGGCATTCAAGAAGCATTCATGGGCTATGAACTAACTGGCAAGTAAAATGCAGCTGCCAAGATCATCTTTATGGACAATAAGCAGTAGTAACAGTATCAGGTTAGTCAATAAGGAGATGTAGGCAAGAAACGAGCAGAAGAGAAAGGAATGGTCTCGAGATAAGAAACTAAGAAATGCAAACAGAGATAAAAGGCCAGATCTAAGAAATGCAATGTGGCAAGTGGCAGTAATAGACACAGCCCAATACGGGGGATGTTAAAATCAAAGAACACTACAATGTGCATATATTTTGTAGCCTGCATGAAAAGCCAAACACTGTTAACAGTGAGTAATACTACAGGAAATGAGGAAGGCATTAGAAATTAAAATAAGATGTGAAACCATGGGGTCACACAAGTGAACAGCAAGAGATTCAGTGCCAATGTGCCCATAAATGCAAGTTCCCTCCCTTTGATACTTCATTATCCAAAAAACATAATTCAGTCAAGAAAAAAAGTCAGTAGCACTGTATCTGCAAATCATCTGTACAGCCACAGTTAATAAACCCAAATGGAAAGCACAGGAAATAAAATAAATAAATAAATAAAATCCTACTTTCTTAAAAGAGAGGATGGGGGAGAGCTAGTTCCCTAAGCATTTACAGCCTGAATGAAAGAAACACAGAACTTCAAATACAAGATTTTGGGACACGTCATGTCTCCCTCCAGTTAGCGCCCTCACCAGATGATTATGCAGTCCTTGAAATTATAAACATGGTGCCACAGGGCCAGAAACATGCCATTTACTGGAATGCTTAGGAGATATCACACAGGACTGATCACTAGAAAAACACTATGAAAACAACAACAGCAAGTACCAGGCTATAAACTAGTTGATAAGAGTTGTAAGTAAATAGATTTGTTAAAGAAAATTCCGTAGTGTAAATGAAAGTACAGCAACATCTCTTTAGCTGAATTGCTAACTGAAATTAATACACCATAGAACTCTCTCAAATCATCCTTGATATTAAAACAAAAACACCCACAGCCATCTGCTTTATCTGTCATAGCAGTTTCCTTAAACAGACTTATGATCTATAAATAGTTTCAGTTATGTTTCAGTTTTCTATTACAGAGCTAAATAACAGAATATGTAGTAAAGTCAGCATTGAATTATGCTGTCTTACACAAGCTGACTACAGTGATAGGAAGCTCATGCATATCATCAGTACATTATATTTCTCATGTTTTAATGAATCCTACCAAAGCAGAGGTGAAGGCAAGCTCTGTCCAACTAGCTTGCAATCAGGTTTCAAAATATTAAGTAATTCAAATGGAACATATTGTTGTGATCCCATTTCTTACTAAATTGTAGCAGTTTTGAGAAGGAAAGACTTGAACCTATACAAATTTTTTTAAAAAATCAGGACCTACATAGATTTTTTAATTGTTAATATGGTTAATGTTTATTAAAAGATTGCAAAAAACATACAGTTATCAGTAAGTGACTTTATAGCATATCAAAGCCATGAAGTTCACTTACCTTGCCTTAATATCCTTTATCTTCTTCAGAAGAATTTCCTTTCTTTCTTTTGCCTTCTTGGATAGATTTTCTCCTTTTAGTGTTTGGAAAACAAATGTTTCAACATCTAAATAAATAAGAAAAATAAATACAACTCAAAAAAAGACAAAATACTGTTGTAATGAGTTTGTCCTGATACTACCGTGAAAAAATTAAGAAAATTATTTTCAGCCCTACTCACAGCATAGTTAACAGGCATTTTAGATTCTAAATGGGATACATTTGTTCTCTATCTACTTATGCTTAGCACAGCAAATCCTATGGTGACATTTGATTCTTGCTCACTTAATTATGCTACGAAAGTCCTAATAAATTGCAGTCCTATAACAATTACTTTCCATCACCTAAAGTAAAAGACAAAGCTAAAACATGGAAATAGCCTTTATGCATATATTACTGCCACGTTATTTCAGAAGTTCAAGTTCCAAAGATGGTTGTGTTAATTTATTATTTCAGCAGTAACACTTACCCAGATACTAACATAGCTCACTTACTGGTTACAGTATTTTCAAGTGCTCTCACAATGCCTCTGAAATCACTGATTGATTGACTAAAGATTCATATCCAAAGCAATCCTGAAAACAATTAGGTAGGCACAATAACCATATCAAAGGAGTCAAGCTCTACAGTGTACTTTAAATTACACCTGCACTTGTAGAATCCCAAACTAAGGCTCTAGCCTGCACTGTAAGTTTTAATTCTTACTCAGACGATACTTTTATATAGTCCTGTAGAAACAAAGCATTACATAAAAGTTACCACAGTTCTTTTAATACAGCAAATATCCATTTCATAAGATAAAAAAATGGCAGTATATAGAATTTGTGGGAGTGTAACTCCCCCAGTAGCATGTTTTCCTGATTAACAAAACAATGGCAAAAAAAGCAACACTAAGTTATAGTTACCAATCAACATACAATTACCCCAAAAAAGAAGAAATGTAACCAAAAAATCCTGCTTGTTAACATAAATGTCTCACCTGTTCAGATAACAACTGCTCATTGAATAAGATAAAGCATTTTTAGGTAACAAAACACCTTCTCACAGTGCCTGCCCACCCCCATAGACACACATAGCGACACATACATACACCTTGGCTCCCTCTGTATAGAGGCAAACGCATATGTATAGTACTATTTTAATCCTCTAACTTTTCCAATCAGATGACAAATTCCATTTTAATACACAAACATAAATAACCAAATAAGCTAAATAAGTACACAACATAAATAGCCAAATAAGTACACAATTAAGTGCAAAAGTTTACGTGAATATTTACTGCAAATTTCCTAAATGAAAAACTTAATTGCCTGCTTTTTTCTTTATAAAACAGAAACATATAATCCTTTGTATTACAGGCTGCAAGAAAACAAGTCAAAAGTCACCCTTTAAGAACACTAGCACAGCTATTACAAAAATGTTCTTTACAAATAATTCACTGGATTATTATTTAGATGTTTGATTACTGTCCTCGTGGAGTGCAGCAAAAATATTCTTTTTTTTACAGTATTTTAGAGTTCTGAAGAATGATATTGATCCTCCTCTCTCCATAATACAAAGAATCTTCCCTATTACATCTTCCAAAGCAATCCTGAACAGAGGAGACCTTCACTGAGGTCTGTGGCATTCCTTCTTTAAAAGGACAGAAGGAAAGGCACTTAACATGTATTAATGAATCCTCCAGACATACCCCCAACAGCCTCTATGCTGTACACCAAGAATGCCTACAAGGATTTTTTCCAAAGCCATAGAAAAAGTAAATCTTCGTAAATTCCAATGACTGGAACTGCCAATCAAACTGGCAGATGAGAACCTACAGAACCCCAATGACATTGACAAAACTAGGGTCAAAAAAACTGATACTTTTACTATTCAGAGCAAAAATCAAAGCAGTTCAAAACAAATCAACAGTTTTTTTCTCAATGAAACCTAACAAGATTTTCCAGTACAAAACAAGCTTTCACTTGGAGAGGGACAGCCTGATTAAATATTTATTTTTCCATACTTTTAGATATTTATTTTAAAAATTAGATAGCAGTTTCAAAGTTCTATCTAGGCATAAATATGTAAAACTTTAGAGGAATTAGTCATGTTTATAAATCAAGAGCAATACTTGCACAGTAACCTTTGGAAATTAATTAATCACAAAACTTGGATTCAGAAGTCTTCATTTAAACTCAGTGGGCTTCTTAACTTCTTGGAAAAACTCAGCCCAGGTGAGAATTCTGCCATCTCAGATTCTGACTGTCAAAACTTTATTCAAATACAAACACCACAATAACACAACCGAAGAGTATGTGGGGAAGAGAAATTAAGTTGCTTATTATAAAAAAGAATTACCACTTCTGGTTTAAAATACACTGTGGATACAAAAATTTGAGGGCTAACTAAATAGCTGACAGATTTAGTTGTTTTCCATAAAACCTTGGACTTCAAAAGCAGAAATAATAATTTTCAACCACAGAAGGACAGGGCAGAAGTAGATGCTCCATTTACCCTCAGTATAAGTAGAGTTGGAGGAGAGAGGCAGAAAGGGAGCAAGCATATACAAGTTTGTCATTCCTAAACACAGCAGTTACAGAAGACATCTCTGGGATAGCTTCCCTCTTACATGAGTATGTGAAAAAAGCTCTCCAAGCTTTGGTGTACCCACAGTCATTTTCATCATGGAACACTATTACTTCCATATGTCCAGCAATACCATATGGCTTGATTCATCACAACCCCAAAATATGAAGACAGACCTGACATACACACGATGCTAAAGAAGCAGTTTACTTAAAAATTACATTTTACTGTATCATAGATTTTTCTTATCTACTCACAATTACACAGTATGTTATAGATCTTGTTCTAATCTACTGTTGTAAATCCATCCAGGATGTCCCAGATGCACAAGATGAGTAACATCCTAAGCTTCTCTGGACAAGAAGCCAGCAAATCATCTAAGTTATGATCATCTCTTCCCTCCCTGTACTTCCACACTGTGGAGGAATATGGACTGCCTTAACATAACTAAATGTTCCTGTAATTTCTCTGACCTTCGCAAAGTGATTTACGTAGAAATTAGAACAGAACTTGGGAATTCAGTATGGTAGGTCCAAGTTTCATACAGTAAACTTCAAAGAGAAGCAGCAAAATTTACCCATCTCTCACCACTATTATAGTCCCTTACTTGTTCTCCCCTCTCCAGGATGATCAAGTCTCTCCTGTATTAGTTTAATGCTACTCAGAAAACAAAACCACTGTGCACAACCATTTCAGTGCAGACCTGTTTCATTCTTCAGCAGCAGCTGATCCATCAAAAAACTTTAAAGGGAGCAAAAGATAAATTCCAAAAAGAAAACCTCTTTGAACAGACTTCTGGTCTAAAAGCACTTGAACTAATCAGTTACCCCAGAGCAAAAAAAACCAAATTCCTGCACATACTAAATACATATTCCCATAAATTTTTCCTAATGAACAAAGCAGCTATTTAGCATCATATATTGCAACCATTTGACTGTTCCCACTGAAAACATGAAAATAGAAAAAGAAGTATTAAAAAAACCCACTAAAACAAATAAACAAAACAAAGAAAAATACACAGTGGAAACCTACTTAACACCTCTTTTCTTAAGCTTGTGTGTTAGATTGCTTGATAGGTTAAATACACATAATTGTTGCTCTGTTAAAGCTCTTAAAGCTCTGTTACATTTGCTTGCTCCATACCCCAGAGAAATTATCTGCCTGCAGAAATGAACAAAAGCTACCAAACTGAAAGATCCAATTGATACAATTCACTGACAAATTGCTCTGCCAGTACAGGTTACAAACTGACTGAAAAGGAAAGTCACACCTCAGTCTAGCTCTGTCCACTTCAACTGGCTCATACAGTTCAAAACTTAAATGCCAGTTGACAGAACATTCAAAAGCTAAAAGCCATTTTAATTTCATTTTCATCTACAGTCCTTTTACAAGGAGAAAAGCTAAGATTTATTTTGCATTTCATTGTTAAAACAGTTTATGGTTTTCTTTACTTCAGTGATTATAAACAGACAACACTGCAAGATTTTAATTGTTTTAAAGTCTTTGGAACGATTTTCTTTAATGAAGGCTGAAACCACACAGATGGAATTTTTCAAGAACATTGTAAATTTCTAGCCCAAAGCAAGTGCTGTGTTCAAGAGTGCTAAGCATAACAAATTGTAGCACATTTGTTGTTTACAGGATTTAATACTGTAAATGCAAGTCACACTTAATAAACAAACATACTTAAGACAGAACTACCTCAATTTTTTGTCAGGGTGGGCCAAGCAGATTCGCACAGAGGCACTAAAAGACTTTGTGCTGGGTCCTTCTTTCTCTCCTCCTCCAGCAGATAACCAAAATGCTACCAAATCACATTATCAAGAAGTAAATCACTCCATCACGGACACATCAACTGATGAGTTGACACCACTCAAATGACAAGAATCAGAAAGTGGCAATGAGATAGGCCTTTCCTCCACCTCAAGGACCGAGAGAGCCGGCAGCCGGCCAGAGAATTTGGGATGGCAGGCCAGAGAACTTTGGGAGATAGCTGCAAGCTAGGCACATTTATTACACACATACTGTCCAAAGGCAACCACTATTAAACAGACTACCATGTATCTTTCAGCTTTACACAGGCTGGCATAAGAAAGCAATTAATTAATTAGATTTCAAAGATTTCATGTGATTCATTAAAAGGGAGCAAGCCTGAAGACAAACTATAAAGCAGTATCTGTCACTGTCTGTTCTCTAAAATAAAGAAATATTTGAGGATTTTGCTTTTGCTCTCCCCCGACTTCACAGCTATGTTTTGAAGTCTCTCTCTGGAGTTTGCTAAATTGCCCTTTAAACATATATACACTTAATCAGAAACAGAACACATGATGCAAAATAAAAGTGACTGAACTTCAAGTTGTCTAAAAATACCACATTTATCCAGCCTAACAAGAAGGTGAGCATTCCTTTTAGTGCAAAGTCCTGGAAAGGACTGCCTTTAAAAACTTCTGTACCTCAAAT